AGCCTTGACTTTCCTAAAATAAAAGAGTGTGGGGACCGGAAGTGTGGCTCCCTGTCTCCACCCTGACTTCTCTGGGCGGGAAGCCAGCCGACGGGGTTATTTCCAGGGCTGGCTGGCTGTGCTTTCAGCAGAGTGTTTCTGGAGCACACACCAGCCTTGTTTCAGTTTTGCGGGTGCTCCCGCACAGGGCAGAGATGCTCCCCAGTGACAGCCTGCGGTGACACTGCCCAGGGTACCCCCGGACAGGACACAGGCTGGGATGGGGTTCGCCCCCACCCTGGACCCGGCGCTTTCTGGGCCTGCAGGGCTGCTCAGGGAGCTAGAAAGTGCTGCAGGGCAGGCAGGTGCTTGGTGTGGCGGAACCCGGGAAGCCCCCACTCTCCCACCTCCTACTGCCACAACCCCCCATCCATGCACCTGCACTGCTCACTTGTCTCAGGGGGAAAACTACCTCCCTCAACCACAGCCCCAGGCACCCGTGAAGCTGAAGCCAGAGGCAAGCCCTCCAAGCACCTCAAAAGCAGCCAAAGCTGCTAGACGGCCGTAAGGAAGGCACTGAGTCCTTTAGAAGCGACTGTACCTCTCTTTCTGCGTGTGTTGTTTCCCCTCCTGACTCAGCCCACGCTGCAGTACAGCGCTTGGCCATCTAGTTGTTGTTTTGTCTTCTCATTTTCTGATGAACAAATGCACTCCCCGGATCGCTGGGAAACTGAGGCTCACAATCATGTCATTGTCCTGCTTCAAAGATGCTACTGGCTCCTTTTTGTCTAGAAGCTAAATTCAGGCCTTTCCTTTGCTCTTGGGCTGCAAACAGCCCCCTCAGCCTGCCAGGAACCAGCCCCATGACTCCATCCTCTGGCTGCCTCCACAACGAGCCCTCCAATTTCTCACCTCCTGGCCTTTGCACTTCTTGTTTTCCCCATGCCTGAACTGCTCACCATCTGGAGAACTCCTATGTATCCTATGAAACCCAACTCCAAAAGCCCCTTCCTGGAAACACACTTAGGGGTCTTGGAACTGGCATGAGCCTCAGGTTCCAGTCCGAGCTTCACTTTGTGACCTGACAAATCACTTCAGCTCTTGGGACTGGCATCTTGTCATTGTTTCTGTGTCTCCCGTTATACCTGGAAGCCCTCAACATTGGGCCCCACACTTTGTGCATCCCTGAGTCCTCGCCTCCATCCCCAGTGCCTAAGGCAGTCACCACCTCTTGATGATCACAACTCAGTGTTGCCCCACAGCAGCCCTAGGGGAAGGTGGGAGTGCCCCAACTTTACTCACAGGAAGTGCAGGGTTGGGGGCTCAAGAGCAGGAGATGGTAGGTGCTTACAGGCAAAAGCGCGCTCCCTCCCCCAGTGGGGCCCAGCACTGAATGCAACGTCATGGGGACTGGGGATCCCAGCTGCAGGGGACTCTGTGGGTGTCAGAAGCATCCAGTGCCCCTTCCCCGGCCCCCTGGAGGAGGCTGGAGCCCAGGCAGGGAGGGAAGAGGGTGAATCACACCCTGTTTGTTTGGCGCATTGGGTGGCAGAGCCTCGCAGATTCACCTGAAACCAAAACCAAAACCAAATCCGAGAGTGCCATTGCCAGCTGGGTGGACGGCGGACCTGAAACTCCGGACTCAGCAGTCCTGGGCTCCTGGAGGTGACCGCCTGCCTCCCAGGGACATACCCCCTCCCTGTCCCCTGCAGCTCTGGCTCTGGCTTGGGGCTTGCAGGGGACGCCCCCCCCCCCCGCCCCGTGGCCCCGGGGGTCCTGGCCTGGGCAGATGTTAGAGCTAGGTCAGTTCCTGCTGCTCCTCAGGGTGATGAAACCATCACTGGGCCCCAGGCAGTGGTGAGGCAACGCACGGCCCCACCCAGGGCTGAGTCAGACTCTCTGGGGGTGGGGCCCAGGCATCTGAGTTGGAACACACTTTCAGAAGATTCTTGGGGGCGTGGGGGGTGGCGGGCAGGTGCGGAGTTCCCTCCCACCTGCCACCTCGGCCCCGGCTTCTCCCTGTCCTCCCCTTCCAGGGTCTGGGCTCTGCCCCTGTCTGGAAGTCGGCTCCCGCCCTCACCAAGTCCTCACTACCTTGCCCGCTGGACGCCCCCTCGAACTTCCAGGGCACCTCCCTCTCTCATGCCAGACCCCAGATTGGAAAACTGCTCCTGCCGGTCCCTCCAGCATCACCTGCGACACCAAGCCCCCATCCAGTGGCCTTCGAACAGGGCTCCCATGGTCCCTCTAGCGCCCTCCAGTCCAGTGACAGCCAAGGCTGGAAAAATGCAAATCTGATCACATGGCCTCTACTGTCCTTCCTGGGCTCTTAGGGCGAAAGTCAAACTCAAGGGAGGCTGTCGCTGCAACACAGAAATGGCAAACAAAAGGGAACAGAGCTCGGAGTGGTTGACGCCACCCAGCTAGGCGTTCAAGGGCAGTGGCAGCGGGGGGTGGGGTGGGGGGGGGGAGTCTCTTGCGGAGCCGATCCAGGGGATCGTGGAGCTGCCACTGCCACCAAAACCACCACCAGACCTTTGTCATGCTGCTTAGTCAGCACCATGCGCCCCAAGAGACTGCCTTGCCCTGCCCTTCCCAGCTGCTGCACTGCTACCTGTCCCTCGTCCCTCACAGAGGCTGCCTGGTCCACCCAGCCCTGGGCAGTCCCCCAGAGCTCCCTGGGCCTTCCATCAGGGATCCCATGTCTGTTCCTGTGATTGCCGATGTCTGTCTGTCTGGAACAGAAAGTTCCCTGAAAGCCCCTGTCCTGGCAGCGTCTGCCGCACACTAAGTGTTCAGCATATGCTTGTTGAAAAGCCAACAGGCTCTTTAACCCTAAACTTGCATTCTTTCATCTATGAACGGCTCCCTGCCTCCCAAACCTGTCTATCGATCTGGCGGGAGAGGGGTGGGGGGACCGTCTAAGATGCTCCGTGGGTGCCTGAGACTGTGGACGGTACTGAACCCCACATACTGTTTCCCATACACATGCGCCTAGGATACATTTTCATTTCTAAATGCGGTGCAGAGATGGATGACACTACAAATGAAAAGGGATGATTACAACAATGTAGGGTGGGTGGAAGTTAGGTGAGCACGGCCCCTCTCTCAGAATACCTTGCACTAACCTCACCCTGCTCCTCGGGCAACGCGGATGAGGGGGACAGGGCAGCAGCTGCTGCTATGTGTTGTGTTATCACCAGCATCAGGGATCACCTGGGCAGGCCGGCTGCTGGTGAGGAGTAACTGGGCCAGCGGGAAGTGAGCCTGCGGGTTAGGGGTGGGGGGTGACGGTCGTGTTGTCCCTACAAGCAGACATCGCCAGTTCTCAAAGTGGTCAGAGCCCAGTCTTTAATCTGACAGCACTCTCCTTCCTGCTCCCATCTGGCCTCCTGGCTTCCTCCTGCACACCCAGCAGGCCCAGGACCTCTGCATGGGAGGGGTGAGGCAAGTGACCCCCCTGCAATGGCTCAGTACCCCCTTCCCCCCCAACCCAATCTGAAACACTATCTTTATCATATTCTAAATTCCCACGTGACCATCTTCACTGCAAATACCAGATCCAAGCAAATCTTAAAATTTTTGAAAACCAAGTGTTGGCTCCCCGGACAGGGAGCTCGGGGCAGAGCCAGTGGGTTCAGGGGCTTCGTGGGCTGCATGTCTGTGCTGTCTCCGTACCATGCTGTGGCTGGGGTCCCAGATCCTCTTTCGGGGCTTGCCCTGTGCCCCGGCCACACAGCACAGTGGGCACTCGAACCTGGGCAGTGGACTCGGAGGCCGGCCTCCCTGAAAGGTGAAAGATGATGTAGCCTCCTAGTCTTGCCCATCTACACACATGTATCTCATTTCCTACAAGTCTCTGGTTTACAGTCTGGGGTGTTAGTGGGGCTGGACGACACAGGCTTCCCCTCCCCCACTCCTCCACAGGATTCGGTGCCCATCTGAGAGGCACTGGGACTGCTTTCCCAGGTGGCATCGCTGCCTCCAAAGACCTCTGGGATTGAAACTGTGATTTGAGTGTTAGGACTTAGCCAAGCCAGTGTAAAGCCAAGTCCTTTTAAAACACTCAGAAACCGTTAAAATGAGGACATTTAATGACCTTTACAACGTGCCAATCATTCCCAGACACATCTCATCTCTTTGAACCTCACAATAACCCATAGAGAGGGTCTCATCAGGTGAGCAAGGGGGGTAGGAGGTGGTGTTCTGCTGTGGGGGGTCACCCAGCCAGGTCAAGTTGCTTCATGAATTCATGGACAGATGAATGGATGCATGAAACAGCTCACAGCAAAAGGATATACACTCTTAAATGCACATGGCATCAACCCTGCCTGGAGAGAGGGACCCTTGGTATGGCCTGCGGGGATTCAGGGGGTGAGAGACACCCTCCTGGGGTCCCTGGAGGGACCTTGCTGGGACTAGGTACCATGAGGACACAATGGCCAGGGGCACTGGCATTGGTGACGGATGGAGGGGTGGCCTGCCTGCATCTGCCCAAGCAGGCAGTCACAGCCTGACCGCCCCTGTGTGCACCCAGGTGAGGGGGGGGGGGGTCAGACAAGGCTGCCCTAAGACTGGCTGTCTGAGCAGGGCTGTAGGTCCAGTAGGGACCAGGGGTCCGTGCGGAGAGAACAGCAGGGTGGGAGTTCAGGGACGAGGTGTTCAGGGCTGGGTGGCCCTACTGTGCATCATGATGCTGCCTGTCAGGCTGATCCCAAGGGGTCTGGGGATCCTTGGAGCTGGGTTTCTCCAGCTAGAAACCCCTTTGGGCAGATAACAGGGACCCAGTCTCCCAGTGATGAGCAAGGTTTTATTGATCATGTTACTTCAATACCTACAAACACAATGTCAGATAGAAGCTTATGCTTCAGGCCCTCATGAATTATAAAATGCCAGTAAAACTACAAACCAAGGAGAGAAAACCCTCAAGACACAATTTAGATTAATATCACAGTTAAATGCATAGTTAATATGATGTAGTAGGATTTTTTTGTGTGTGGTAAAATGTAGATAAAAATCTATCCTTTGAACCATTTTTATTTAATTTTAATTTTTGTTGTTTTACAGATTTCATTTATTCATGAGAGACGGAGAGAGAGGCAAGAGAAGCAGGCTCCCTGCGGGGAGCCTGATGTGGGACTCAATTCCAGGACCCCGGGATCACAACCTGAGCAGAAGGGAGATGCTCAACCACTGAGCCACCAGGGGCCCCTTTGAACCATTTTTAAAGTGCCACCGAGCACATTCACAGTGTTATACAAACATTCCCACCACCCCAGTCCAGAACTTTGCCATCCTAAACGGCTCTGCGCCATGAAACACATTTTGCAGAAACAAAATATTGTCACCTGGTGTCTAGACTGTTGACAGGCAGGTTTGGGAGATCGGGAGGCCTCATGTCTGCCTGATGCCTGGGGTGACCCAAAGGCCCACGATGTTTTTCTATTCAAGCCATACCACAAAAGCTTCATCCACAGGTCACGTGTCTGGCTCAGTGAATGGGATTCTGTTCCTTGTTGACATGAACGTAGTTGGCATACATGTGTGACTCTTGCCATACTGTCACTCGGTCGGTGACTTAAGAAACAGGGCTTCTTTGATGAAAGAGGATCTCAGCTGCAAGTTTTCCCCATGGAAGGGAAATTCTGCCTTTCTGTTGAAATATGTCCAGTGACTAGCCATCGTCACGTGAGCTCATGCTGCTCCAAGTCATGCTTGTTGGCTGGCTCCAAACATAACGCACAGAATCACGTGGTTAGAAAGCAGTCCGCAAGATGAGTCAGGGGCCTTATCACGGAAGTACAAATACAAAAGTAAAAGATAAGATGCATGGAGAGCTTGCCGTTGCTAGGTCAAGGTTGTGGAGTATGGTACTGCTGTGTCTGGGGGCTGACGGAGGGTGGGGAAGAGGAGAGGCAGGGCTCTGGAGAGAAGGGATGGGGCTCGGTGTGTGTGGGTGGGGGGGGTAGGGGACCCCATCTGTACCTTGGGCAACAGGGTAGATTGTGGTGCCAGGCCTAGAGACACAGGCACGGGGAGCTGCAGTCTGTGTGCAATGGGCGGAATGCCTGAGCCCCTGATGCCTGTGGCCTAATCCCTGGACCTGTGAGTGTGTAATTGGTCCTGTCACAAAGGTGATAGTTCTGGCCAGACGTCGGTAGACCTGTCCCAGAACACCTTCCACTTCAAAGTGGTGGTTAAAATCCATGGTGGGGACAGGCTCAGACGTGAAGGTGACAAGTGACACCTCAGGACCTGCGGCCATGAGCTGGGTTCAAGTGAAGTGAAATCATAAGGAATAGAACCTCTGGGGCTCTGGGTGAAATGTTACTGCTTATTTCCAAGATACCTGATGAACAAGTGGCTACAGATTTGGGCAAGCACTTGGTATTTATCTAATTGCCCCTTTCCAGGGGAAGCCACCAGGGGCAGAGGGTCTGACTCTAGTGGTCTCTGGGGACACTCCCACCAAATAGTCCAGCTTATATTCATTCTTATATGTGGTAGACAATTAAAACACATTACAGAAAGTATAAATATTATCATTCAAAAAATCATCAATTTCAAACGCTTGGTGCTTGCTTATCTTTCCATTTCCAGTGCTTAAATAAGCATCTGTCCTTTTACCTCACAAGGTAGGGGAACCTGTGTGCTTCCCGAGGGCAGGCTGCTTGTCCTGTCGTCTCACATCAATGCCGGCCACGGTGCTCCTTATGGCAGAAGCCTCCTGACTGTTCGCGTGTAAACCGGTTGAACAAATGGGGGCTCTGAGCCACTGTCTTCTGGGGGCAGCTTCCTGGGCAAGTCCACCCCATGTCACCAGGCTGTACAGCTCTGCCCTGCATGGCCCAGTGCAGGACGGAGACTCCTCACCCACCATTTTTTCCGAGCCTCAGAACTCAGATCTCATCTTCAAGAGGTCAGGCTGCTCCAGACCATGTTCCTTCTTCTCACCACACGGACAGGAGCTGCTCTCCATGGAGGTCTTGGGGTATGAGTGGTGGGAAAAATCCAGCGCCTCCGCAGCATGTGGGACTGAGAGACGGGCTACAGGAGCAAGGCAGTGACAGAGCCATGACAGAGCTGGGGACCAAGGCCTGTCTGCTTGTGGCTGGGGAAAATTTCAAGTGCAGAAATCACAGGTCTTTGAAGTTTCTATCAAACACATGGTATGATGGAAGGTTGGGGCGCCTCTCGGGTGTGAGAGGCATGCAGGGGGATATAGGGCAGAGGTCAGGATGTTTGGCATTTACCCTTTCAGCAGCTTATCTCATAAATCATGAATGTTAAAACCTATGAAATCAGCTTCTGTTCAAGAAACAGGGACACATTTTTCAACAAACCTACTTCCAAAAGCTACCCATTAGCCAAGCCGCTGACATTTATTGACAGTGCTGACATGTCTATTATCCACAGAACTAGCTCTGACCAAAGGCCTGAAGAGGCAGGTGCGCGGGCAGGTGGTGGAAACATACAGTGCATGACACAGGGCCAGGCACACTGGAATGCACTGGAGACTGGCTCAGCTCCTTGGTAGCACCCTGCTTGTGAGCCAGCCAGGAACACAGGCAATTGGGGTCTACAGAGCAAGGCCACTTCTCTCTCATTTCCTGCTGTGGCCCCAGACCCTCAGTGCCTGGCATCATTACATCCTTGCTGAAGGTGTGCAGGGGCTCAAAGGCTGGTCCATGGCTTAGCAGGACAGTGTGCTCAGGATCTCAACAACCTAAGGCCAAGATGGTGTGGGATGACATCACATGAGGCTTTCCCAAGTTAATAGCCAAAAGGCCTGAACCAGGGATGGCCACGTGGCTCTCTGATGCATCTCAGAGACAGGTGGGTCTGAAGCTGGTGAAAGGTGGGCCTCTAGCAGACCTGTTTATGCCTCAATAGAATTATCTTAGAAGCAAGAAGACCAAGTAGGGGCATTTTTAATTTCTTTTTTTTAGGGGCATTTTTTAAAATGACAGGAGCCAACTCCCTTTATAAATCTGTTATCAGAACACTGATTTTGATACAAAATAGTTAACACACTATAGCATCACAGAAGGCACAATATTTCTAAGGACTCACATTTATATAGGGCACTGACTGTGTTTCAATCACCTCAGGCACTTAATGGTCCTACAGCAGGCCATCCTCACAAATCTTCCTGTCTCCTAACACCCTCAAGGGCCATGACCCCAACAGGTCTCCCTATGCCACTGGCTCTGGTGTATGGGGCTATATTGATGGCCTCCAAGCCTCTGACCAACTGTGGCAGCAGCAGAATAGCCCGGTGGTCACAGTGTGGACTCCGGAGCCTGACAGCTTTGGCTCCACTCCCAGATAAATGACACAGATAACCGCTGATTTTTACGCTCCTTCTGTGCTGGACATAGATCCAAAACGTCCTCCTGCAGGCACTGATTTAATGGGACAAGAGGCTCTCTGTTTCAAGAGCGATCACGAGGAATAAATGAAGGCATCTGCACGGTGCCCCAAGCCCCACCTGGCACAAAGTATGCACTCGATGGATGCCCACTGATTGAGAAGCCAGCTGTGGCTTGTGGCTCGAGTGCCGAGGTGCCTTGTCACAGCTCACTGCCAGGTCTTCAAGGCACTGGGTGGAAGGACTTAGTTAACCTTGGTGGGGGAACCAAAGTTCAAGCTGTGTGGATGCCTTTGGGCCCTTGGAGGGGCCCCTGGGTCACCAAGGGGTCCCCAAGGCAGGCCTGTCTGAGTCCCACGACCTCAAGGACATAGTAGTGCCACCACTGCCACCTCTACTGCTCTTGCTCTCATTCTCTAGGCCTCGGGCCTGCTGTTCCTCCTCGATGAGGTCGGCCACCAGGTTCAGCTGGCAGGCCCTGAGCGCCCTCACCAGGTGGGACACTGCTGCGTCCTCCCTCCTGGAGCTCTTCCAGACTCTCAGCGACTCCCTCACCTGCTCAGTCAGGTTGCGGGGGTACTTCTCCTCGATGGCATCAATCTTAGCATCGGTCACTTTAAGGTAACGAGCCAGTCTCCTCCAGTCCTTCCCCACGTTATCACATATGATGTCAAATGCTGCATGCAGGTCTGCGGAAAGAAAAGGATTTACCAGAAGCTTGGGGAGCTCTTCAGAGACAAGTAATCCCACATTCCCAGTGGGCTTCTCAGGGCTGACCTAAATGCTGGGTATATAGGAAGTCCACTTGCAGAGGCTGGAGTCACCCAGCAGTAGAGACGTCAGGAGGTCATAGAAAACCCAAGGGTGGCCTCCCGTCCTGCCCTAAGCCCACTCCCAAAACACTACCCAAAAGGTGTGGCCTGCTGAAGATGTGACTGGGCTGGGGTGGGTGGTAGTGCAGGTAACCACTTGGATGGGGGAAACTGAGGGAGGGCCTGTGAGATGTCTAAAGGAAGGAAATGGAATCGCTCCCCCATCCCACCCTGTAGTGGGTTAAATGGTGGCCTCTAAGAAGTTATGTCCACCTCATATTCCTGAAACTGTGCACATTAATTTATCTGGAAAAGGGTCTTGGCAGATGTGACGAAGTGGAGGATCTGGGGATGAGATCATCCTCGACTGTCCAGGTGGGCCCTAAACACAGTGACCAGCACCCTTATAGGACATAAAGAAGAGGCCACAGGACCACGGAGCCAGAAACTGGAAGGATGTGGCAAAATGCCTGGAGCCCCCAGAATCTGGAGGTGGGGGAAGGATGCTGTCCTAGAGCCTCCAAACGAAGTCTGGCTCTGCTGACAGCTTGACTTCTGGCTTCTGGCTCCAGAATTGGGAAAGAGTCAAGTCCATGTTGCTCCAAGGCCCCATGTTGGGGGTCCTCTGTATGGCAGTCCCAGGGCGCTAAAATAGCCCAATTCTTATTTTGGAAGCTGCCTGGACTGACCATCAGTCTTTGGTCCGGGGCTAGGACGTCCTCACTTCCTGAAAAGCCACCCCTGAGATCAGCAGGTGGGGCACTACAGACCCTAACAGGCTATGTCTAGAATGGTGGGCGAGCAGAGGACAAAATGCTGCTTAGAGGCCCCAGCAGATGTGCATCTTCAGTTACCCCCACGACACGGTCAGCCAGTGTGACAACTCTGCATTCCAGCCCCTGGAGGTAGACAGGTGGGCACTTGTCTTACTGTGATAAATTGGTACAGAGGGGGAAGCCGAGGCACAGGGAAGCCAAGTGATTTTCCTGATGTCATACAGCTAGACAATGGCACAGCCAGGGAGTGAAACCGCTGACTGTCTCACGTCGGTCCACTCTTAACCGTGATGCTATCCTGTCTTCTGTGTGAGAGTAATACAGGACGGGCCCTCATCACCTCACCCACACCTGCTCATCTCTGGTGTACTCTCCTGCGTCACACAGGATCTACACACATGTAAATCTAAAATGTTATTATCTGTGTTTTGTGGACTACCTTATAAATGTATTACGTCCAAATCTCCCCTCCATTGAGTGTCCTTGAAAATGTAATTCTTATAAGTCCTGTTTTGTTTGCACAGCACTGAGTGTTTATGTATATATGTGGGTGCGTGTGTGTCAGACAAGAAATCTGAATTTGCCCCAATCTGCACCAGGAAGCACAAGTCTTTACGGAGTAACACCTGTGCTGCGGCAGGTCTGTCCTGTTTGATTTGGTGATGGAAGGACTGATGCCAGGGCAGAGCTTCGGGACTACATGGGGTTTCCCCAAAGCGCTCCCCCTCCCCTCCCCCCTCCCCTCCCCTCCCCCCTCCCCGGGCTCTGAGAACACAGGCCCGGCTGAGGAGCCCTGCTCTGCTCAGGTCTCATTTTTACCCCTCGAAGCCTCTGCAAACCCTAGAGAGGGTGGAGAGCACGGGGTAGGAAGCCACACAGCTCGGACTCGGTCAGAGGGGAGGAGGACTGCAGAACCTACTACGGGGCTAGTGAAAACCAGAACGCGGCGGCGGCGGAGCTGGTTTCAGTACTGCTCTGGGTCAAGGGCGCCAGCGGGTATTCCCAGAGGCAGAAAGCCCAGGGAAGCGGCGGGGCAGGCTCACCCAGCTCCGCCCAGAGGGGGCCACGCCCTGTCCTGTGGAGTAGCTTCCACCGCAGCCCGAAGAAGCGAAGAAGCGGAATCACCGAGAAAACACTGAACTGGGTGTGTGTGTGTGTATTCATGTTTCCCAACCCAAAGGAACTTGACTTTTATGAGTTTTGGCTCTCTCGTCTGCAAAGGGGGCAGCTCACCCGCCTCCCAGGAGTGTCTAGGAGAAAACCTGCTCCAATCAGACCCGGGAAAGGCTGTTGGCGCGCTGCTGGCGGGTCACAACGACAGCTGGGCGAAGGGGCCGTGCCAAGCCTCCCGGCCCCTCCCCGCGTCGGTCCCCTAGCCCCCGGGGCCCCGCGCCCCTCCCCCACCCCCCGCTCCCACCTCCCCGCGCCCCTCCGCCCCGTGCTCCACCCCCGCCCCCGCCCGCCTACCTCGCTCCTCCGGAGGGGCCCCGCCCGCCGCGCCCGCCTCGAAGTCGTCCAGGAGCCGCAGCAGGTCCTGGCGCCGCAGCGAGGCCAGCAGCTCGCGAAGCAGCCCGGTGCGCTCGGCGTCCAGCTCGTTCTGCTCGAGCAGCACGTTGAAGAGGTCGAGGCCGCTGTGCACGCGCTCCAGCTTCCTCTTGCCCACGCGGCCCTGGCACAGGAACTTGAGCTCCGTCAGCTCGTCGCTGGACAGGCCGGTCGACACCGAGTGCAGCAGCACCAGGAACGGGTCCATGGCGGCGGGCCGCGGCGGGGCCCAGCCCGGCCCGGCCCGGCCCAGCCCAGCCCAGCTCGACCCGGCCCTCCGCTCGGCGGCCCCGCGGCCCCCGGAGGCCCAGCTTCCCCGTCACGCGGCTGCGCCACCGGCCCCAGGCCAAGCCCCGCGCCCCGCGCCCCGGCCCAGCGCCCCGCGCCCCGCGCCCGGGCCTCCGGCCCCACTGCCGGAAGACCGCGCCTGCACTCACGCCCCAGCTCCGGATCTCGCGAGAACTCCGGGACCCGCGCATGCGTCCCCGGCTCCACTGTAGCCGTTTCCGCCCGGAAGGCGCGCGGCCGCCACCAGGGGGCGGCCCCGGAGAGCGTGCGGCCCCGGTCTGCCGGGCCTCCGCGCCTGCGCCCTGCGGACCTCCTCCCACCCAGTCCCGAGACGCGCGCGCGCGGGCCCAGAGCGTGGGCTGCGGCTCCCGGGCCGCCTTGCCCTGCGGACGCCGAAGATAAGTGCGTGTGTTCGTACCGTTTGTGAAAGTGCAGGAGGTGTTTCAACGCTCACGGCGCATCTCTCTCTGTGCGGGAAAATCTGTTCAGAGGTTTATTGAGGTTTTGAAGTTTGATTTCATTATTTCATCTTTAAAGTTATAGTCACTTACGCGTTTGAATGCTTTTAGGATTTTTGGAGCGCCTACTGCGTCAGGCCGTGGGTGCTGGGGACGCATTTGGGCGCAGAGCAGATGTGCCCGCCTGCCGGGAGTTACGTCATCAGTACCTAAGCTTACGTAATGCAGATAAGTAAGTCCTACAATATGCCCCAAATAACAGGAGCCCGGGCAGAAGGATGAGGGGATGCGGAGTGTGGAGGTGGGGGCGCGATTAGAGGGGCGATCAGAGCGGGCTTCAGCGCGCAGGTGCAGGTGCGGGCGCCAGGTGCAGGTGCGCGGGGCCAGGTGCAGGTGCGGGCGCCAGGTGCAGGTGCGCGGGGCCAGGTGCAGGTGCGCGGGGCCAGGTGCAGGTGCGCGGCCAGGTGCAGGCGCCGGCGCCAGGGGCCCCCCGTGTGTGGGCGTGGGGGGGGAGGGTGCGGGCCGGGGGCAAGCCACAGCAGAGGCACGTGAAAGCGGAGCTTCCGGGAACAGCTGGCGGACCGAAGGGTCTGGAGCAGAGCCGGGGAGGCAGAGGGAGCCACAGAAGAGAGGGCAGGGGTGAATTAGGAGGGTGCAGTCCGGGCCAGGTGCAGACCCGGCTTTACTGCCCTTGAGATGGAGCGTCTGCAGAGTGTGAGCAGGGAAGTGAAGCCATCTGAGTTACCTTAAAAAAACATTATATATATATATGTATAATGTATTTATATATACTTATATACATTTATGTATATATTTATATATATATAATTGAGACAGAATTTGCAACCCATATACATTACCTGTTTAAAGTGCACCTTTCAGTGGATTTTACTATATTCATTCATAAGGTTGGGCAAGCCTCACCATTAGGTAATTTTAGAACATTTCCATCACTGGCAGTAGAAACCTACCTCTTAGCAACTACTTCCTTTCCTTCCTCCTCTGCTCAGCCCCTGATAACTATTTTCTGCCTCTTCGGATTTGACTGTTCTGGACATTTCACATCAATGAAACCATATACGATGTGGCCTTTTCTGCCTCATTTCTCTCACTGGGCAAAATGTTTCCAGGGTTCGTCCGTGTTGTAGCATATGATGTGGCTCTGCCCATTTTGAACTGGTCAGTAGAACTCCATTGTACCGAAAGATCACATTTGAATATGTCCTGTCATCTGCTGATGAACATTTCCATTGTTTCCAGTTAAAAATCAAAATTCAGCTGAGTAAATTTGAACATCCAATTGCTGTATTCAATAGTTCACGAACCAGACAGCATCCCATGTCGCAAGTAGAAAGGAGTTCCGGGGAGCTGAGTGTACAAAATGAGGTTTGTATAGGCAAGAGGGGAAGAAAAGCAAGTTTTCTAAAGAAGTATGGATTATTCTGGCAAAGTCATCTTCTGTGGGGGAAGATGAGGGTTCATCATGCAGATCACCTCACAAATGCTCAACAGGGAATCCCAGATTGTCTGGTTTGAGGTTACATGCCTGGGAGAGGCTGGACCTGGCAGTTGAGTCTTGGTTTGCTGTCGTGGGGAAAAGTGACTCAATTTTGGGTCCATTTCCCTCCCCCCTTTTTAAAGATAGTTTTTCTTTTAAGATTTTATTTATTCATGAGAGACAGAGAGAGGCGCAGAGGGAGAAGCAGGCTCCCTACGGGGAGCCCAATGTGGGACTCCATCCCAGGACCCTGGGATCACAACCTGAGCCAAAGGCAGACGCTCAACCACTGAGCCACTCAGGTGCCCCCACCCCCTGTTGTTCCTTTTTTAACAGCACCTTTTGGGTGTTACGAATAATGCTGCTATGAACTTGGAGTTACATTTTTAGAGGTCCCTCTGCCACTGGGTAGAAGCTGAATAAGCCTGATGGGAAATGAGGGTATTTGAATGAGGAGCAGGGGTGGCGATGAGAAGGGGACAGCCTTCTTTCAATTTGGGGATGTACATAATGGAGGGAGACCAAGGATGCTTGTAAAGTTTAAGGGATGGAGGAGGTTCCCTGATTGATCCAGGTGAGGTTTGGGTTGGGTGGGTGGGGGAGTTGGGTAGGACCTGCTAGAGATGTTAATTGGACAGTGGTATGCTGAGGACAAGGGTTTGGAGCAGAGACCAGGGCAGGAGATGTGAATTGGGGAGAATTCGGCAGCTAGATGGTGTTTGTGGTGGTTAATTTTATGTGTCAACTTGATTGGACTAAGGCCTGCCCGGTAGCTGGTTAGACAGATCTTAGGTGTGTCTGAGGGTGCTTCTGCAAGAGAGGAGCATTTGAATCGGTGCACTGAGTGAAGCAGATGGCTGTCCCCAGTGCGGGTCAGCATCATCCAATCCGTTACGGGTCCAGATAGAACAAAAAGGCAGAGGAAGGGAGAATTTACCCTCTGTGCTAGAGCACCATACCCACCCCATTTTCAGGGGTTCACATTCAGACTGAACTATACCCCTGGCTCTTCTAAGTCTCTGGCTTGCACATTGTGGGACTTCTTGGCCTCCATGACCGCTCGAGCCAATTCCTATTCTAAATCTTCTCTTGTATGGATCTCTATATATCCTGTTGATCTGTTTCTCTGGAGAGTCCTCACTGGTCTAGTATTTAGAGCACTTGCAAGATGAAGTCAACCATGTGGAGAGAGAAGACAGAAAAGAAGGTCAAGAATTGAGCCCTGGGGGTCCAGCTGTGTGGGAGAAGTGGGGAAGCCCATGAGGAAGGCTGAGAAAGAGCCCCTCGCAGCAGGAGTTCAACCAAGGATTGTCAGACCTCACCCCTGCTGGCAGACCCTGCTTCTTTGTCTCTTGCACATCCCTTGTCTCCTGAGTTATCATATACTTGGCTTCCTGCTCTGCATTTTTCATCCATTTCTCCTGCCAGAATGTGATACTTTGAGGCAGGGATGCCGAGCACCCAGAACACTAGCCAGTGCGTAATAGGTACTCACAAAATGTTTCTGAATGGACAAATCTTATATAAGGTGTGGTTAATTTGGACCTCCACTGACATAACTGTACCCAAGTCTAACCTACTGCCTTGCTATCTGAGGTTTGTGTATTTAACCATCTTTTTTAAAAAATATATTTATTTATTTGTGAGAGAGAGAGAGATAGAGAGCAGGACAGGCAGAGGCAGAGGGAGAAAGAATCTCAAGCAGACTCCAACCTGAGTGCAGAGCTTGGTGTGGGGCTCCATCTCAGGACCTCGAGATCATGACATGAGCCAAAACCAAGAGTCAGGCATCTAACCGACTGCACCACGCAAGTACCTTGTCCATTTATCTTCTCTACATGATCTTTCACAAAGCAAGTTTTCAGTTTTATCCAATTTTCCTTTTATAGTTTATGCTTTTAGTATAGAGTGTAAGATCCTTTTGCCTACCTCTGAGTCCCAAAGATTTTCTCCTATATTTTTATCTAAAAGTTTTATAGTTTTCTGTTTCATTCTGTGGTCTATTTGGGGTTAATTTTTGTACAAAGTGTAAGGTTTAGGTGGAGTTTTGTTTTGTCTTGCCCGTAGGTGCGTCTACTCACTCCAGTACTATGTGTTGGAAAGCCATCCTTCTCCTAGTGGAATGCTTTTATGCCTTTGCCAAAAATTTGTTGCACACATTTGACTTTCTTCTATGTTCCCTATTCTGCTCCATTGATCTATGAGTCTATCCATCCCCACACACCACCTTTTGTTGATGCTATATAGGAAAACTTAATTTTGTGTAGAGCATCTCCTCTGACTTTATTCTGCATTGTTAAGACTGTCTTAGCTGTTCTAGGCTCTGTGTCTTACCACATAAACTCAAAAATAAGCTTGTCTATGTCCAGAAAAGCTTGCTGGGATTTTTAATAGGAATTGCATTAAATCTAGATCAATTTGGGGAGAATCAACCTCTTTACCACACTGAATCCTCCAATCTGTGACACCGATACGTCTATTTATTTAGGTCCTTCTTTGATTGCTTTCATCAGCAAATTATAATTTTCAGCTTTGAGATCCTGTACATGGTTTGTTAAATGCATAGAATAAGCATTTGGTTTCCTTTGGAGTCATTTTAAATGGTATTCTATTTTGGGACGCCTGGGTGGCTCAGTGGTTGAGCAGCTGTCTTCAACTCAGGTCTTGAACCTGGGATCCTGGGATTGAGTCTGGCATCAAGACTCCCTGCAGGGAGCCTGGTTCTCCCTCTGGCTATGTCTCTGCCTCTCTCATGAATAAATAAATGAAATCTTAAAAAAATAAATGCTATTCTATTTTAAGTTTTGATTCCTGCATGTTCATTCTTAGTATATAGAAATGTGATTGATTTTTGTATGTTGATTTTATATCCTTCTGCCTTGCTGAGTTCATTTGTTAGTTCAGAAGTGTTTTTGTGTTTGTTTGTGTCTTTGGGATTTTTCTATGCAGACAATCGTGTCATCTGCAAACAAGGACAGTTTTTTTTAACTCTCCAATCTGTACGCCTTCTATTTCTCTCCCTTACCATATTGCAGGGGCTGGAACTTCCCATACTATGTTGAATAAACACAAAGGGAACAGACATCCTTGTCTTTTTTTTTTTAAAGATTTATTTATTTATTTATCATAG